GCGCGCGCGCGCACGTACATACACGCACACCACGCACACACACGCACACACACACACACACACACACACACACACACACACACACACATTCACACACGCACTCGCACGCACGCACGCACACGTACACAGACACATACAAACACACACACACACACACACACACACACACACACACACACACACACACACACACACACACACACATATATATATATGTATATATATATACATATACATATGTATAACATATGTATACATTGTATATATAATATATATATATATATATGTATATATATATATATATATTACATATACATGCAAATATGTATATATGTATATATTTATTTATGTACATATACATACACACACACACACACACACACACACACACACACACACACACACACACATATATATATATATATATATATATATATATATATATATATATATATATGCACATATGCATATATATACATACATTATTGCTAATTTTATTGATATTCTTATTGTTGTTATCGTCATTATTATTATTATTATTATTATTATATTATTATTATTGTAACTATCATTAATAGCATTGGTTTAATTACTGTAATTATTATTATTTTAATCATTATCATTATATTATACTGTATCGTCCGTAATATCATCATTTCATCAGTATAGTGATAATTATTATTATTATTTTTACTTTGTTAGCATGATTACTATTATTCTAATCATTATTATTATTATCATTGTATTATCATCATCATTATTGTTTTATCAGTATTATGATAATTACTATCACTATTATAATTCTTACATTGTTATCATGATTATTATTATAATTATTATCATCCGAGGCAAGTGCACATCACTGAAGTAGTTAGGTCGTCAGTTTATGCACATTTATTTCTGAAGGAGGAAGTTAAGAAGGAAAAGGGGGTAGAGGAATAGGGGAAAGGGGAGAAAGAGAGGGCCTGAAGAGAAATGGGAGATAGGCAGGGGAAGCAGAGGGAGGGAAGGGAACTTGAAAAGCAGGTGGGGTTGAATAAGGGGAAAGTTAGGAAGAAGGGGGGGGGGGCTTCAAAGGGAAGTGGGGCTGGATAAGGGAAAAGCGTGCGAAGGAGGGGATTTTTAAGGAGGAAGAGGGGGTAAATGGGAGAAGATTAGTTTATGGCTGAAAATAAAAGTGAGAGGGAGAGTGGATTTAGGGAAGATTTCGGAGTGAGAAGGGTGCAGTGCGGGGGGTGGGGTGGGGGGGGAGAGGGAAGGGGAGAAAGGAAGTGAAAGTTTTTTCTGGAATATCCACAGATCCTGCTAGTAATAATAATAATGATAATATTCATAATAATTATAATAATGATGATAACAATATTAATGATAACAATAATGGTAATACTGATGATAATGTTATTCGTTCTTATTCATGCTGTGTTCTACATTTGTCACAAAGGAATTTGTATATACTGTACCCTTTTTCACCTTAACTAAGCTCTACTGTTTACTTCAAGTTGTCTAAAGTAATCATTAAGTGCCACAATTATTTGATCAAATATATAGAAATTCTTTAAAGTACTGATGCCACTTGTTTTACATTTTTATAGATAAAGTTCGGATCTTGGTCAACTTTTGACGGCAAAATGAAACTTTGAAGCTACAGTTTTCGTTATTATTAAAACACGATTCATTGAAACGAAGGTTAGTTGTTCCCATCTCGCAGCCAACTCTCGCCCATGATCTCGTATAAAATGGGTTGCATCACTGCAGGGGCACAGCTAAGGAGGCGAGCACTTAGCTTTGTAAGTTAAGAGAACGCAGGGAACCCATACAACTGGGGACCTTGGAAAAATAGGGAAATTTGATAGATTTTTCGAAACATCTTCAGATCCTGAAATTTCGGACAAGGTTCACATCCTGCAGTTTCAAAGAGGTCTATCCCTCTCGTTTTTAAAATATTTCCATCTTGGACGCAAACTTGGCAGGGTTGGAGCTAAACTACCAATGCTCCAGCCACTCATTCTCGTCTTGCTTGCGACAAAGTTAGCATAATTAATCTACCATTAATACCACTTTAAATTCGTATTGTCATATTTGGTTTAAGGAAACAATCTGCTCATGTAAATCATTTTCTTTCTTTAGCCTGCCATTGTTAATCAAGTCACCACAGCTCTAGTTGTCAGATAAGAGAAAAAGTCAGGGTTCCACCAGCTTTATCTGATTACTGTTTTTAGTCCGGGTTGAGCATGCGGCCTGGGACCGAGAGGAGCAGAGCTTTTCGGCGATTTTCGCCCCTCTTGCCGAAATTGACTTTAATGCATTTCCAAAGAGTTTCTAGGCCCCCGGTTCTCCCCTGAAAATTTCAAGGCCCGACCGTTATTTTTTAGGTGGTAGCAGCGATTTTCGATGCCGACTGAAATATTATTTTTTTTATTTTACCTTAGAAAATCGGCAATTGTGACGCAATAATTAGAGATAATAAAAAAATGAGGTTGTTTTTTCTGAAAGCTTAAACGCTGTTCCCTGATCCCACTTCGTTTTTGGAGGGAACAATGAAGTATAGTGTATGGTCATTTTACAAATCTGTCTAGTAGTACCTCGCTGTGATGTCAGATTTAGATATCTGAATTGATTTTTTTTTTTTTTTTTTTTTTTTTTTTTAACCTAAATATAATGCTTGCACAATAAGTTCAGAAATAATCACTTGATTAGAAAATGCTGTTTTCTTTCTTATCCAACGGGCCAGGAATTTAGGGAAAAAATACATGATATTACAGGCTATCGCGTGTCGCACTGATAACATTTTGAGGTTAGTCTTGCTGGGCTGGGAGTCCTCGCCAGTCTTTACCTCGGGGACAATTCTTCCTCTGATCATGCTCTTTCGTGTCCAAAATTCCTTAGATTCAAGAGCCAGAGTTGCGAAAGAACGGCCTGAGGTCTCTCTCTTGGTCGTCAGTGAAAGAAATATAATGTAAAATGTTCATATTAATACACTTTTTTCTTCTTCTTTTGGTCCAAGGTTATTCTGAGAAACATATAAAAAGGGTGAAGAGAATGTATCCTCTTCTATGTAGTATGGTATCTAATCGAATATCATCAGCGAAAATGCCCTTCTTAGTAGTAACTAGTATCCCTATTATAACGGGTATCATTAAGAACTGTTATTAATGGTTTATATTGATGCTATCATTAATACTACTATTCTTATAAGTGTTCTTATTTTTAATCTTAGCCATCTATTTCTTCATCCCAGTGCTTTCAATATCATCATCATTAGTTCAGTTTCATTATTACTGATAAAACTGCTTTTTTGATAAACACTGTCATTGCCATTATTGATATCAATAAAACTAATATTACTCTTGATAATTAATTGATTATAATTAAATAATAATAAGTAATTGATTATTACTACATGTTTTTTTTCGCCCACAGAAAGAGATAAAAGGACAAAGGGTGAGGGGAAGAAAGGGAGAGAGGAACATGGATAAAAGGAAAAGTAAGACCACTCAACATCCAGAGGAAAAAGGGAAGGAGACTCGAGGACAGAGGCATGGCGAAAGAAGAAAGGAGGAAAGAATTAACAAGAACGCTGAAAGTGCAAGTGGAGAAGAAACTGGAAACGAGAATGAAGAGCAAGAACAAAGAGTAAGAACGCGAGCAGACTACTTGGACTTCAAAGCTAAAGGCAAACCAGAGGACAAAAAAGGAAAAGATGAAGGTGACAGCGAGGGAGACAGAGATGAAGGCGAGAACGGAAAAGGTGGAAGAGGAAGTGAAAAAAGTGACGATGACGATGACGAAAGTGAAGAAGAAAGCTATTCCGACAACGATGACAAAGACGAAGACGATGACGACGACGAAAAGGAAAAAGAAAGCTATTCCGACAACGATGACAAAGACGAAGACGATGACGACGACGGAAGGGAAGAAGAGAGCCATTCCAACGACGATGACGAAGACGATGATGCCGACGAAGTAGAAATAGAAAGCGGTTCCAGTGAAGGAGACGATGCGGAAGGGAAAGAGAAAGCGATGACAGTGATGAAGACGAGGAAGGGAAAAGAAGAAACAACTCGAGTTACAAAGCTAAAGGCAAATCAAAGGACAGTGAACTAAGTTGACGATGAAATGATTATGAGGAACGAGAAAACAACCAATAACGAAAGTGAAGATGAAAGCGACAACGGAAATGGTGAAAGTGAAAGTGATTACAGTGATGATGATGAAAGGGAAAGAGAGAACGATTGCGGTGAAGACGAAGAATGATAACGAAAGTGAACGCGTAAAATTCTCGCAGTGACGAAGACGACGGCGAAAGTAGCTCAGAAAGGCTTCCCAGTGACGAAGACGATGACGAAAGAGAAGGAGAAAGTGAATGCGGTGAAGACGAAGATGATAACATAAGGAACGAGAGAGCGATTGCGATGAAGACGAAGACGACAACGAAAGTGAACGCAGGAATGGTCACAGAGGTGAAGACGACGGCGAAAGCAGCTCAGAAAGGGCTTCCAGTGACGAAGACGACGACGAAAGGGAAAGAGAGAGTGACTTCGGGGAAGACGAAGACGGTAACGAAAGCGAATGCCGTGAAGACGATAGCGAAGACGGAGAAAGTGATTACGATGCTGCAGACGAAGGCGATAGCAAAGCGAACACGATGAACTCGAGGCCGAAAGCGAAGGAAAAGGCGGTTACGAAGACGATGACGAAGGGGAAAGCGATGACGATGACGAAGACGGAGATACAGAAAGCGATGAAGATGACGAAGATAACGACTTCAGAAGTAATACAGAAAGAGATTACGAAGGAACGATGGCAAAAGGAAAATACTAACAGAAACGAAGAACCAAGTAGAGAAAGAGATAAAGAAGACGGAAGGAGGATCCGACAAGTCAAAAACAAACAGAGAGGATGAAACGCGGAACCAAACAGACGAAGCAAATATTCGAACGACGAACCAAAATGGAAAAGCAAATGGAAGAGAGGCACGAGGAGCCAAGAAAGATTATAAA